AAACATCCCAGTTCTTGCATGGCCAACTCACCGGACATGTCACCCATTGAGCATGTTTGGGATGCTCTGGATCGGCGTATACGACAGCGTGTTCCAGTTCCTGCCAATATCCAGCAACTTCACACAGCCATTGAAGAGGAGTGGACCAACATTCCACAGACCACAATCAACAACCTGATCAACTCTATGTGAATGAGATGTGTTGCACTGCGTGAGGCAAATGGTGGTCACACCAGATACTGACTGGTTTTCGGACCCCCCGGACCCCCCAATACAGTAAAACTGCACATTTTAGAGTGGCGTTTTATTGTGGCCAGCCTAAGGCACACCTGTGCAATAATCATGCTGTCTAATCAGCATCTTGATATGCCACACCTGTGAGGTGGATGGATTATCTCGGCAAAGGAGAAGTGCTCACTAACACAGATTTAGACAGATTTGTGAACAATATTTGAGAGAAATAGGCCTTTTGTGTACATAGAAGAAGTCTTAGATCTTTGAGTTCAGCTCATGAAAAATGGGGGCAAAAACAAAAGTGTTGCGTTTATAATTTTGTTCAGTATACATTACATAAATCAATAAATCCACTGCTCTCTTGTCTCCTCTGAGGCTGGAACTCTAAATAGTGTTCTGTGCAGCTAAAGACAGAACAGTTAGCATGCTTTGCTCAAACTTTCGCCATGGCATTACAACCGTTGTCGCTTGCGAAATCAAAATGACGGCGTCGTGGGAAACTCACAGATTAAGGGGTGGTATTATTATAATGAGATCCCTTTGCCACATCACCAAGGGAGCGAAATCAGATGCGCTCGTTTTTTCAGACGCTTGCAAAAAAAGGCTTACCAAAACAAAGTTACTGGGTTCATCTTTTGGTAGATGCACCGGGGACCTGATTATAACCCTTAAAACCTGGAAAAGTCAGATTTTCATGATATGTCACCTTTAAAGTTTCTTCTTTTATTATTAGCAAACTATTAAATAACTTTAATGATCAATATAATAAATAATATTAATATTTTTATTATTTTACAAAGTATGGTTCAGTACTGTTACTGCTTTAAAAAAAATAGTAAAGCACTACTTTAGTTTTCTTTCAGTATCTATTTGAAAAACTATCGGTTGATTAATCGGTATCGGCCAGTGTGGTCCAACCTAGCTATCGTATCGGTAAAATCCACTATTGGTCGACCTCTATAAGATACTGAGTCTTATTTTCAGGAAACTGTATTATTCTCTCCATTTTGGCAAGTTAATGATAATGTTAATGATAAGTTAATGGCAAGATAATTGAGAATTATTTAGATCATTGAGAACAATTAAAAAAGGGACCAAAATCAGCCAGTACTTCTATTTAAGCATATATCATTTTATAACTCCTGATTAATTAGAGTGGCAGATTGAATCTAAATCAAAAGAAGTGTATCAAAAGCAAAATGGTTTAATATCATTCTGTTTACTTCAAAACTGGGCCAGTGGTCATTTCGCTCACACCAGAGAAAGCTGTTACTTATACATTCTTATGTTTGGAGGAAAAATGCTGTATGCACGTCAAGCCCAATTTGGCACCTTATTCATGGAAAGTGTCAATTCACCAAATACAACAATAGTGGTAACCTATCTGAGAGTAATGATGGTGATAGGCATTTGAAAGTATTACAGAAAAAGTGAAAAATACCCATATTGCTACATTCCTGGCAATGACTATGCCAATAGTAGAGATTTAACAAAGTCTAAAATGTCTCTAAAGCAAATGATTAATCACCCAACATGTCTCATTGACAATTAATCATTAAAAAGCATGCTTTATTACCAATTAACAATCTCACATCTCCCTGCAAAACCACGACTCTCTAAAAATTTTACAGCTCATTTAGAATAATCAGTCATTTTGAAACAAATTTAAATTTAATTCTGGTAGCATCGCTACAGTCTCTCTGACCCAATTCTATATTTTCACCATACTTTAAATAGCTTTCAATGTCAAACTCCTCTGCATATCCTCAATGCAGGACTAAGAGATAAATGAGAGGAGAGATGAAGGACGAAGATAATAAGAAAGACTTTTCAGCGAACACCTCAGCAAAGCGCAATAACAATTTGAGATCCTGTACGGTTTATTGCAGACAGATTGGGTAGTTTTACAACAGAAATTATGATCTTAGTAGTTTTGTGAACAAGCTTCCACCATCTCCATATTTAATGATTAGAGCTTCCTTTACTGTTAGTGTCTAATCTATAACTTCTACAGACCTCTATTCATATATTTGCAGAAAACTGCCATGAACAACACAACACACAGGTAATGAAGTGAGGACTTACTCATTGGAGCGTGAAGAGCCACATGTTCCTGATAGGGGTTGAAGTATTTGTACTGTTTTCCACAATACTCACAGGTGTAACTTCCCGTTTCTACAGAACACAAAATACAGTAATTAACCAACACAGTTATTAGTCAAAAACACATTAGCGCTGATAAATGCAATGCTTCAGAGATTCATTATTCCACTTGAACCATGATGATTTATCAGTACCAGATTTTAGTTGCTTAAAGCGACAGTACACCCAAAAATGAAACATTCTGTCTTTATGACTCACTCATGTTGTTCCAAACATGCATGACATGTTTGTCCAATTCAAATCTAAATCCAATTGGAAGAGGGAAAATCTCTTTATAGAAATGTATTCAGGTTTTTAATGACATGACAATTGTTATATTTTGATGAACTATTAATTAAAGCCAGTGGTTCTCAACCAAGGGGTCATGATTCAAAGAAAGACAAAATAAGCATTCAAATAAGCAAAACCTATCAATATATTTCTTTTTAAATTCAACCCTCAGCAATATTTCATTTTCATTTGAATAACCAGGGTTCCCGCTTTCTTGGAAAGACATGGATATATATAAAGTAGCCTAATTTTTAAAGTGTGATTTTTAGACCTGGAAAAATTGTGATATACAGAAATAAAATCTTAAAATTCCATTTTTAAAATGAATTTTTGTGGTTCTGTTATTATTATTTTTGCCAGAAATACAAGGATTTTAATAAAAATGTATAGTTTCCACATCAAAAACATTTTCAGGCGTGTGGTTCTGCATATAAAATGAAGGGACAATATTAATTGTTAACCAGTTGATCACAGAATGAACTTCTGTCCAGAATGGCTGAATGTGATCACAAATTTTTTTTTTTTTTAAATGTGCCCTTGAATGTCTTACATTTAAAACAAAGATCTGAGCAGCTAGAGAACATTTTAAGAAGGTGACCAGGTGTAAAACAGATCCTATGAAAAAAGAAAAAAAGAAATGACATTTTGTTCATGTAGAGAAATTGATGTACACTTTGGAAAAAATCCATTACAAATCTCAGTCCAATGGTGCCGGACTGAATGATACCCCTAAATCCTGTTCCCACAATTGTTTCAGAGAATCATATGCTGAAGTGTCAGAGTGGAGCAATAGAGCATAACACTTATAATCCCTTTAAGAGAATTGGCAGTAATTTCCCTCCAAGACTGTTTCCAATTCTGATAAATTTAAACAGAGTTTGTCCTGCCTTAAAAGAGATTCTGTAAAATGCCAAATTTAAAGATATTTGGGAAAAAAACTAACAAAAAAAATCAACAGAGGAAATGTTATACTCTACTTCAAGTTGTTCAAACGACTTTAACAAGATAAACCCTTAAAGTTCCATTCCAACAGGCCAAAACTCCTAATCTGAACTGGAAAATCAGTGTTCAAATCCAAGGGTGACTAGACAGAGATAACTGGAGTAATATTTAAAAAAAAAAAAAAAGTGTTTCCCAAAGCCAGTAATGTAGCATAAATTATTACATTATCAATAAGGGAATTTATCTGGTCTACACTGTTGATAAATGGGAAGGACTCAAGTCTTCTGGGGTAACAAGATAAAGATTCAAGATCAATCCATATAGAATCATGCCTGTTCATGAACCAATTCATCATCCTTTTGAGTTGAGCAGATCAGTAATAGAATTGTAAGTTAGGCGAGGAAAGACCTCCCAAAGCTTTTGGTTTACAAAGTTTACAGAGTCTAACTCTCTGTTGCTTATTATTCCAAATACAGCAGTATATGTGAGACTGCCGTGATTTAAAAAAGGCTGGGGTTAAATAACATGGAAGATAATGGAACCAATAATTTAATCGAGGAACAATATTCATTTTAATAACATTGACTCTCCCAAGAAGAGAAGTTGGCAAGGAGGTTCACTATTTCAAATCTTTCTTATTTTTTGTTATTTAGAGGGGAATTACGGGTTATACAAAAAAAGTTATTCAAATCAGATAAAAATAATAAAAATACCTAAATATTTAAGACCTCTCTCTGAAACCTGTAAAGGGGAATGTATAGCCAGATTATAGGGAATATTAAAAGGCCAAGAGACAGATTTTCCTAAATTAATTTTATAGCCGTTCACATTGACACTGGTTACTGAATCTGTGTGAAGATATTTAAATCACACAAGTAAAATTGGAACCAACCCCAAATTTTTCTAATACTGGATGCCGAAAAGTCTTTCATCGTGTGATCTTTTTTTTTTTTTTTTTTTTTTTTTATATCACTATTCTCAAAGACAAAATCATTGCTGTGTTTTAGGAATATTAAAGTAATGTATGGCATTGAGAATACAGCATACATTATCTGTGCCATTTCTAGACTTCACAAAACCTGCCTGATCTAAATTTATACATTTTAAGAAATACCATTTCAAGCCTGCGGGCCAAAACCTTTGCAACTATCTTGTATTCCACATTAAGACGACAAATGGGCCTGTAAGATTAACAATCCAAAGGATTTGTATCTTTTTTAAAAGCAGACTGATAGAAGTATATCTCCAGGAAGGTGGAATTTCACCTTTCCAAATATTATTAATAGCGGGCATAAGAATGACAGATCTTCGGCCAGAACTTCTTAAAAAATTCCAGTGGAAAACCATCTGGGCCCAAGACACTTCCAGTTCGGCACAGCCTTGCATTCACTAACACTTTTAAATTTAGTACTGTGGGAGACTGCTTATGTATTTGCTCTAAATATAAAATAACTTTCTCAAGCATTCTTTAGGTGGGAAGTGTAAGAAATAAGATGACCATGCAACATGGCTTTGGCAACATTCCTTATCATAGCTGAAGACACTGGAGAGTCTCTGTTATTAAGCCAAAATTGTGACAAACTATCCAGAACAAAAGGGGTCACTATTTAGAAGACATATATTTAATCTCTAATTCTACGTCCTTTCAAATGCCTAAAAATAAATGTATTTGCTCCCTGTGCTCAAACACTCTGGATAGCATTTTGCTGGCTGGAGAGCCATCTCGCTTCACTGTGAAACAGCACAGCAGTGTGATCGGTGCCTATCTCCTCGCAGAGCACAGAAAAAAAGTTGTGATTTCAATGGTCTTGTTTTGATGTAGTTGACCGCAATGACAGCTTCAGACAAAACATAATTTAATGTAGGGCTTAACTGCCATGATGCAAGTGTTTCTCGATGTATAATGCAGTGTGTCCACTGCGCTCTGGGTGCGACTCTCGATGAGCGCCTGTAATCCTAAGCATAACTGACACCATATCTATGGCAGTGGGAAGAATCTTCTGTAATGAGATTTCTTGCATTTTGCAACGCGATAGGCAATTTTGTAAGAAGCCAGTTGTGCTTTCGCTGTTGCTGTACTGGCTTTTACAAAACGAGTTTTGTAGAATAATCTGTGTTGTTTCCTGGATGATCCACGATCACGTTTTTCTGTGTTGTGACAGTTGTTCATGAGTCCCTCATTGGTCCTGAGCAGTTCAACTGCCTGCTGTTCTTCAGAAAAATCCTCCAGCTCCTGCACATTCTTTGGTTTTCCAACATTTTCTGCATATTTGAACCCTTTCCAACAGTGACTGTATGATTCTGATATCCATCTTTTCACACTGAGGGCAATTGAGGGACTCATACACAGCTATTACAAAAGGTAGAAACATTTACTGATGCTCAAGAAGGCAACACAATGCATTAAAAGCCAGAGGGTGTAAACTTTTGAGCAGGATGATGATGTGTACATTTTTCTTATTTTGTTTAAATATCTTTTTTTTTTTTTTCATTTTGTACTGCACTTAAGAAGCTACATAAATACTTAAATGTTTCCCAGAAGACAAAAAAAAGTGCAACGTACCCTGATCATTCACCCCCAGCTCTTAATGCATTGTGTTGCCTTCTTGAGCATCAGTAAATGTTTTCACCTTATATAACAGTTATGTATAAATCCCCCAATTGTCCTCCATGTGAAAAGATGGATCTCAAAATCATACAGTCAATGTTGGACAGGGTTCAAATATGCAGAAAAACTAAAGAATGTGCAAGAGCTGGAGGATTTTTGGAGAGAGCAATGGATCATCCAGGAAATGACACACAGTATTAAGATTCTGTAGTATTAAGTGTAAACTTCTGAACGGGGTCATTTTTATAAATTCAGTTATTATTTTGTCTTGTGGAGAATATATAAACATCTGTTATGTGAAATAGCTTATTTAGGACAGTATCAAATAAACAATAACATGCAATTTTCATGATCCCTCTTATTTAGTTAAAATTATTAATATTTGCAAATTCTGCAAGGGGTATGTAATCTTATCAGCACAACTGTAATTCGGATGCATGCTCTCAATGCGTCTTCATTTTGTGGGTTTCATGCTGTCCGCTGCTAGCGTTTTAAGGCATAGGACACACATACGCTAACTGGGCAATTGAGAGTGGTAAATGGAAAGCTCAAAACTTTGGAGAAGCAAGAGGCTAAAGTAAAAGAACCCCACACTTCAAACCCTAAGTCCAAAAAACCTGAACCTAAATGTTTCCGGGAGCTGAGTTTGTTGATCCACAAAGCAATTCAGATACGCAGATGCTGGGAATTCCAGTGTTTACTATTCTGAGTGGACAGAACAATCGACAGATCCTCCATGCAATAACAAAACATTTGCTAAGGCCGGTATAGGTTGTACAGGGAGCCACAGAAGATGGACTGGGGTAAGGAGAACAAATGATCACAAGAAAGAGAAAGAAAACGGTTTACATACAAACCATTACAGCCAGATCAAATAGTCAGCCTTTCCAAATTTCTCAAATATTATGACAACCCATATGAGATATTGAGGAACAACTACAAGAATATGCTGATGTATATTCATACTCCTTTAAGAACATGTTAATGATGCTAAAACTTGTTTTGACAAAAGGCAAGCACAGACAAGTGCAAATTGAGTAAACTGCTGGCTGCTAGAAGCCATGCACACTGTTGAAGTTGAGAAGAACTTTCAGAAAGGCGATTTCTGGTAAGCTAGTGACATCAGGAAATATAAAGGGGCTTAAAGATAGTTGTCAGATTACAGTAGTTGTCATTTTTATACATAACATCAATTTCTGTGCCCTAATGTTGCATTTTCACAGTGTTTATTTTACTGCACTTGAGCTCTGCCCATACAGGTGTACATATGCTGACATGCATATAACTTGGGATCAGCGTAATTTTGATCAGTGTTAATGTCCAACAGAGACAGAAATAAACTGAGAGCAGCAAGTTTGCCATGACTGCCCTCTAATCACTTGTGCAGAAGACTCTCATTTGCAACTACACAACAAGAGTACGACCACAAAGACAGATAATCTGATCATAATTGTGCCAAAGCCTGGTTATATGCACACTGAGGCTTAAGCGGTATCTTACAATTAATTTGCATGATTCTTTTTGGTCTTCAGAAATAGGGCTGGATGACATGAAAAAATCAATGAAAAAAATGATCACTTTTTTTCATATCATACAATATCAATATTCATCACGATATGTATTAGCCAGTAATCGTAAAGGAAATGCTTTGCACATGCTTGTTAGACATTGTTTGTTCACAATTAAACTCCACAGAGTAAGTTACCTTTTAATTTAGGGCCCCATCAAATCCATGTATTTTTTCCCTAAATCCTGAATCCTTAAAAATGGTGTCTAAAGAAATGAATTAATAAAACTTTAACATTACAAATCAATCTTTTAAAACCAAATGAAAATATAACAAATTCAATTACAACAAAACAGATTTTTTTTTTATCACATAAGATGCTGCACAACATCAATACATTTAAAATTATATATAAAATTACATATAAATTTAAACATGGATTAAAAAATATCTTGGCTGCATGCTATTCCTAATATTATAATTATTACTTTTTAGTATGCAACAGCAATATATTTCATAATTTCTTCACATTAAACCACACTTTTATGTTGACACTTTGTGGTGAAGATTGTTAATTTCAGTGTGCATTTGACGCTTTTCTCAAATGTAAATCTGATCAAGTGACTCTCATGGCAGCTCTGGAGATGAAGTCTGTGTGTTCATGTCCTCAGATACTGAAAACACCATTAGCATCCCATGTATTTGAGTTTGTGTAGTAAACTAAACCAAAGTCCCTTTAAAGGAGAGTCTGTTCCCTGATGGCCATATTTGAAACGGCTCTGGGCAGCTATTTCGGGCATCCAAGACCAAGTCCTATCTACTTGGCTGGAGAAATCATATAATTCTAAAAAAACTGCTTGCTAAACTCATATTTGAATCATGCTTCATGTAAGCAACAAAATCTGACATCTGACAAAAACTGCCACAAAAATGCCACTTCTTATGCTCAAGTAGTGCTAAAAAAAAACATTTATTTCAGGTTTGTCCAGCTAATGGGCATCTGTAGTCTTAAGCGTGCATCTCAGGACACTGACTGATCTTGAGCTTATCATCGTATTGACATACACTTTAATCGCGATCTCAATATGATTCTGTTGATCGCCCAGCCCTATTCAGGAGTCATCACTCCTGGATGGAGGTCCCGTAAGTCAGCTATTAAACCAACAAAGTGACCAACAAGAAAGGAAACCATTTTAAGAACGCTTACTTGGTCCCATTTTCTGGTAGGATTCAGTCTCCTCTTTAAGGTCTTCTACTGGTATCACATGATCATACGGATCTGGACAACACAACAAGACGCAAGATTAGTGAAAGTAAGGTAGCCTTTTTAGTTGGAGTCTCAATCGTGTACTCAACACCTCTGGAGACAACATAAAATCACTGGTTTTCCCAGTGTGGGTCTTAATAATGATTTCATGTCAGTGGTGTTAGCAGTGTTAAAAACTAGTATTTGGACATTACAAATAGTGTAAGAGTATTTACAAAAGAGAAGTGGGGGGGGGGATGCTTTTATAATGTATCAATAGCTCCTCAAACACCATCTTAGAAAATTCATCTTTCATGAAAATGTCACCGGTTTTATTGCTGCTGGAGTTACAACCCATGCTTCATTTGTGAAATAAAATAATAAAATAACAAACGTCAAGTTGTCCTTTATGATTAGAAATAAATGTCAAGATGGTTATAAATATTTATCATCAGCTTTTATGGGGATTTTTTTTTTTTTTTTTGTAGGATCAAGATCAAGCAAGTTGTGAGAGAAACCGGAGTGTTTTCTTTCTTTCTTTCTTTTTTTTTAATCACTGTTCATTAGGAAGGTTTTTGGTCAAAGTTCTATTTACAATGTAAAAACAGCTTACTTCATATTTTCCCCTTTAAATTGTAGCACTGTTTCCCACAAATATTGTACAAGATATGATCTGGAACTTTTTTTCGTTTTCTTTTTTCCACAAAGGATCAATGCTCAACTTTCAGAAAAAGTTGACTTTCAACGGAAATGTAGTATGTTGGAGATAAAACTAAATATGAAATGCATAAAATAAAAATAAAAATAAAAAAAGCTTAAATTATTTGAGAATTGAAGTATTTAAAATAATTAAAAAAATTGTTTTTTTTTTTGCAAACCTTAGATTTTGCCCATGACAAATAAATAAATTGGGACATGTATAAATACATTGGTTAATACTCAATGGTTAACTGTATATTGCCTATAAATTAAAGAAAGAAAAAAAAAACATTTGCTTGATCCTAGTAACAATAATGTGTTTTGTTTTTTAAATGGGGAAAGTAAATACACAATATTTATATCATTTTAATATTGGTCCCACTTTATTTTAAGGTCCAATTCTCGCTATTAACAAACCATTAATTATGACTTTTGCCTCAAACTCCTAATTTGCGGCTTATTAATAGTTAGTAAGGTAGTTGTTAAGTTTAGGTATTGGGTAGGATTAGGGATATGGTCACATAGAATATGTGCTTTATAAGCACAAATAAACAGCCAATATGTTAATAATAGGTATGCTAACAAGCAACTAGTTAATAGTGAGAATTGTTCCCTATTCTAAAGTGTTACCAATATATATGTATCTAGTACACCAATTATCAGTTTATACAAAAAAAAAAAAAATTGAATTTGTGCACATAAAATTAATTGAAATAAGTAACGGGAGATCCATTTGTACCCTATTTATGGAAAGTGCCTTGAAACATTATTCAGTGATTTAAATGAAGGCTTCTGATTAATTGAACAGCAATCATGTATGTTTGCTGATGAAAAAAAAAAAAGAAAAAAAAAAAAAACAGAGTTTGGATAGATTACAAATCAAGTGAATATACAGCCTTACCATCAACTGCATGGAGGTCTCTGTGCTCCTGAAAACAGCTGTAGTACTTGTATTTTTTTCCACATACGTCACATGTATAGCGGAAAGAATCTGGATTAGAAAACAAAGACTTGTATGAACAGAAACTTAAGATATCATTATGTGATGAGATGTTGGGAAGAACTCTAGTCAGCTTTACCCACTTAATTTAGAAAAATCCAGGACAATTATACACAAATCTGTCCCATGAATAAATGCTACTCACTATTGATTCCCAGAGATGCTCCTTCTCCAGAAGCAGCAGCCTCGGTCTCTGAACAGCAAGAAACCACACAAAATACACACAAATATATAAACTGGTAATGAAAATTGTCAACTTAAATGATTTTGGTTATAATTTGGATTTCAGTTCAATGATTTCAGTTCAGTTCAGCACTTTTAAGGAAGCATTCATCACCCAATAATTATTACACTTCCATTCAAAAGTTTTTGAAAAGATATTTTGATGTTATTGAAAAATGCATGCTTCTGTCAACCAAAGTAACAACCAAAAAGCATAAATTTGTATTGTAAATCAGTGTTTTGTTTTGTTTTTTAATCTAAGATGGCATTAAGTACATTTTGATGTCAAAATTTTAACAGTGAGACTGAGAATGCTGCTACCCTTTAGGTAGAGAACATCACTGACACCAGAAAATAAGAAGAATAGGTTCAAATTGGCAGAATGTTTGTAAGGTCTGTGAGAAGCACTTTACAAGCTAATAACACCAATGAGACGTGCTGCAGAAAGCATGAGATGAAATTACTCAAATCACTCAAAATCTTAAAATGCTACATTGCATTAGCTGTTAAATTTTGCACATGGAGGATTCTCTGATGAACAGATAGTCTGAATTGTACAGCCTTTTTATGAAACAGAAATAGGCATTTATAAATGTCTTCAAAGTCATTTTTAAACAATTAAATGCATTCTAACAGAATAAAAGCATCAATTAAAAAAAAAAAAAATTGGAATAGTTGTGTACAGGTGCATCTCAATAAATTAGAATGTCGTGGAAAAGTTCATTTATTTCAGTAATTCAACTCAAATTGTGAAACTCGTGAATTAAATAAATTCAGTGCACACAGACTGAAGTAGTTCAAGTCTTTGGTTCTTTTAATTGTGATGATTTTGGCTCACATTTAACAAAAGCCCACTAATTCACTATCTCAACAAATTAGAATATGGCGACATGCCAATCATCTAATCAACTCAAAACACCTGCAAAGGTTTCCTGAGCCTTCAAAATGGTCTCTCAGTTTGGTTCACTAGGCTACACAATCATGGGGAAGACTGCTGATCTGACAGTTGTCCAGAAGACAATCATTGACACCCTTCACAAGGAGGGTAAGCCACAAACATTCACTGCCAAAGAAGCTGGCTGTTCACAGAGTGCTGTATCCAAGCATGTTAACAGAAAGTTGAGTGGAAGGAAAAAGTGTGGAAGAAAAAGATGCACAACCAACCGAAAGAACCGCAGCCTTATGAGGATTGTCAAGCAAAATCGATTCAAGAATTTGAGTGAACTTCACAAGGAATGGACTGAGGCTGGGGTCAAGGCATCAAGAGCCACCACACACAGACGTGTCAAGGAATTTGGCTACAGTTGTCGTATTCCTCTTGTTAAGCCACTCCTGAACCACAGCCCACACTGCCAAAAGCACCAAAAGTTGGTTAAATGACCATGGTGTTGGTGTGCTTGACTGGCCAGCAAACTCACCAGACCTGAACCCCATAGAGAATCTATGGGGTATTGTCAAGAGGAAAATGAGAAACAAGAGACCAAAAAATGCAGATGAGCTGAAGGCCACTGTCAAAGAAACCTGGGCTTCCATACCACCTCAGCAGTGCCACAAACTGATCACCTCCATGCCACGCCGAATTGAGGCAGTAATTAAAGCAAAAGGAGCCCCTACCAAGTATTGAGTACATGTACAGTAAATGAACATACTTTCCAGAAGGCCAACAATTCACTAAAAATGTTTTTTTTATTGGTCTTATGAAGTATTCTAATTTGTTGAGATTGGTGGGTTTTTGTTAAATGTGAGCCAAAATCATCACAATTAAAAGAACCAAATACTTAAACTACTTCAGTCTGTGTGCATTGAATTTATTTAATACACGAGTTTCACAATCTGAGTTGAATTACTGAAGTAAATGAACTTTTCCATGACATTCTAATTTATTGAGATGCACCTGTATATGCACTAAATAATAATACATCCCCTTTATGTACTATATCAGTTATTATTTCAGAACACTAATTTGAATGTCTATCTATCTATCTATCTGTCTGTCTGTCTTTTATTTTTCCTTTTATCAACAAATGCTCAGTGCTCAAGAAAATGTAAACTGAAATGTAATTTGACCAGTTTTATTTTATTAGAATTTTATATGAGGTTTTATATGATTACTACAGATATAAATTTGCAATTTGTGTCAATCTAAAAAATACTAAAAATACAGAATCATTCATTAACAATATTTAAGAAAAAAAAAACAATTTATTGAGTCAGGAAGTAATTAAACTCGTGTTTTCTGAAACATGGGGAAAAGTACAGTGACAACAGTGTAATATTTTAGTTTTAGTAATGGGTGACCAATTTGTATCCTATTTGTGTAAAGTGCCTTAAAACACTTATTTAAGGTTCATGAGCCTTAGAACATAAGGATTCGTTAACGGACTGTCCTTTGTTTCTGAATCTGATGTTTGGTGTTACATTTAACCAGACAAGACAATTATATGGAAAGGTGTATTTGTTTGTCTTCATATTATTTCAAAGTGCCCTGTCACAATGCAGCTAAATCAATTTTATTCGCAGTTGTGAATATGAACTGGTTTATGACTCTCAACCCTACAAATATCACAACCAACCCATCCAGATTCATTAGGTCAAGAGCAGGACGCACCTGTGTGAGCTCGGACGTGCGTCTGAAAGCAGTTGTAGTACTTGTACTTTTTGCCACATACTCCACAAATGTAAGAGCCTGTAAGAGAAGAGAGAAAAGTAATTACATCTTCAGGCAGATAACATGCTTTACATTTTATCATAAGCCTTGTGCTCAAGGTTGTGAGTGGTGTTCCTTGGAAAGAGACGTTAAAAAGATACAAATGTATTCAAATAAGCATTCTTTCAAATATTTCTACAAATACTCATCTATTAATTATTAATTGTTTACTATTTGAAGTCATGGTAACGATTGATCAAGCAATATATCGCCAAGGCCAATATTTAGCATTTATCATCACACTGGCAGATGAGTTTTAGGTGGCAGTGAAAACATTAACATCTCAGAAAAATGTAGTGCTTCGTGACCCTTGAAAAATAAATAAACAAACGGGTGAGATTTTATTATTAGCACTCTACCTGACAAACATAAAACAGTAGATTAGGCAATAAAGCAGGCGGAGACTTCAACTTAACAACTTGTCACTTCCCCCCCAACATATTAGTACGTACAGATACAGTATGTGACTCTGGACCACACAACCAGTCTTAAGTAGCACAGGTATATTTGTAGCAATAGCCAAAAATACATTGTATGGGTCAAAATTATCGATTTTTCTTTTATGACAAAAATCATTAGGATATTAAGTAAAGGTCATGTTCCATGAAGATATTTTGTAAATTTCCTACCGCAAATATATCAAAACATAATTTTTTATTAGTAATATCCATTGCTAAGAACTTAATTTGGACAACTTTAAAGGTGATTTTCTCAATATTTTGATTGTTTTGCACCCTCGGATTCCAGATGTTCAAATAGTTGTATCTAGACATGGGCCGATTACCGGTTTCAAGGTATACCACGATTTGAAAAGTTCACGGTTTCAAAACCACTAATATTTTCCGTTATACCGTTCTTGCGGTATGCGCTGTTTTTCATGTCTCCTCAAAGACTGAAAGTGTAGGAATCCCTCAGGTTGAGTGCAGTGTAGAACAAGTCCCTCCTCCTCCTGTTGGTGCGAGCGAGCGGTCAGTCACGTGTGTGCAGGATGACCGAACTTAAAGGGTTACTCCATCCCAAAATGAAAATGTTGTCATTAATCACTAACCCCCATGTCGTTCCAAACCTGTAAAAGCTTCGTTCATCTTCGGAACACAATTTAAGATATTTTGGATGAAAACCGGTTGGCTTGTGACTGTCCCATTGACTGCCAAGTAAATTGCACTGTCAAGGTCCATTAAAGTATGAAAGACATCGTCAGAATATTCCATCTGCCATCAGTGGTTCAACCGTAACGTTATGAAGCGACGAGAATACTTTTTGTACACGAAGAAAACAAAAATAACGACTTTATTCAACAATTCGTCTCCTCTGTGTCTCTCCGCATCACCGTAGCACCATTTTGGAGAACACCCAAGCAAGCAGCGTGAACGCAAGCAGCGTACGCTTTTCTGTGTCAGCCGTGACACAAGGATACGTTTTCTACGTGTTTTTACGCTTTGATTTGAACGAAAACAGCGCATCCGTGCAGCACGGCTGACACAGAAGAGTGTACGCTGCTTGCGTTCAGCAGATGTTCTTTAAAATGGCGCTACGGTGATGCGGAGAGACACAGAGGAGACGAATTGTTGAATAAAGTCGTTATTTTTGTTTTCTTCGTGTACAAAAAGTATTCTCGTCGCTTCATAATGTTACGGTTGAACCACTGATGACAGATGGACTATTCTGACGATGTCTTTCATACTTTTCTGGACCTTGACAGTGTAATTTACTTGGCAGCCAATGGGACAGTCACAAGCCTACCAGTTTTCATCCCAAATATCTTAAATTGTGTTCCGAAGACGAACAAAGCCGTTACGGGTTTGGAACGACATGGGGGTAGGTGATTAATGACAACATTTTCAATTTGGGGTGCAGTATCCCTTTAAGGAGCTGCCCCTGGAACTTATGCGATCGGCAACCGGCCGTTTTTTGTCTTATTGCAACTCGTCTCTGTTCTAGACTTGCACAAACTGCGTTGCAATGCAATCATTTTCCAAAATGTCATGCATGTGAAAATATGAAGTCTGTAAACAGCTGTTAACACAGGCCAGAGACGCTGAAGACGGACGCAAACAGAAAAATACTGTAGCAGGCAGATCACTCACTGCCTTATATCTCAGGAACACTGGGTGGCGCTGTGTTCAAATTTCTCAGGTAGTTCTGAGACATGCTGTCGATCTTTAAATTTTTGTGCTTATCGGTCAAATTATTCAAAAGATATTTCAATTTATGACAAAATCGGAATCCACAGATTTAGCATGATGCAATGAATCTATAGACTTCACAATTTTCTGACAAACTGTTCAAAACAGTTGAAAATGACTCATTTTTAGTTATTCTTTGCTAATGTGTGTTGCTAGTGTGACTGAATGTAATGAATGTGTTGATGTGGTTAGAAAACTTCTAGAATAACAGTACAGTAAAATGTAGTATTTCACACTATTCAGTGAGCAAGCCTTTTTTTTTTCTTTTACACCTAAACTACCAGTCAAAATTTTTTATAATTATTAGTACTATTATATATATATATATTTTTAATGTTTAATAAGTCTCTTCAAGACTTTTTTTTTTTTTTTACTGAAAATTTAGCTTTGATCACAGGAATAAATTACATTTTACAATGCATTAAGCCCTGAAGGCATTTTTGGAGATGTTTTTTTTCTCTCTGATTGACACGCATGGAAGCCCGTTTCTGCCACAGTTGAGGAAAAAATATCTTTAAGTCATAATAATGATAAAGTTTCTCATAATTATGACTTAGTATCTCATTATATTGAGAAACTAATGAATAATGACTTTCTCAAAATAATGACAAATTTTCTCTAAATAATGAGAACCCTTCTCAAAATAATGACCTTTCTCAAAATAATGATTTATTTTCTCAAAATAATGAGAAACGTTCTCGAAATAATAACTTCAAGCATTTGTCCTGATAGAAGCGGGACGCTGAAGACCAAGCGGTTGCCGTGGTAACGAAACATTGTTGTTCGTTACCACGGCAACTGCTTGGTCTTAAGCGTCCCGCTTCTTGCAGGACAAACGCTTAACATAAAAAATGCTTAACGTGGCTTGAAGTACAAAGGCATATTGAACCAAATTCAGGACCCAAAATATGAATGCAATGCAAAACAGCAACACTTATGCATTTTCTATAATGGTTTTCTATAGGAAAACGCTTAACGTGAAACTTTGGGTGTTGCGTTCAAATTCTGGGCTCTTATGCTTGCCTGTATGCATGATCAATAATATTGTATCCTGAATTTGTCATTGTACTTTAAGCCACATTAAGCATTTTTCATGTCCACATGTCCTGCAAGAAGTGGTGTGGGACCAAGCGGCAACCTTCCGGTCTCTCTCGTGAAACCAACACGGAAGTGACTACAACTGCAATTCATCGACTGGCCGCTAGAGGCTGGATCCAAAAGGGGGTCAGTCCCATAGACTCCCCATGTTAAAATGCCCAACTTTACAGCAGAAAAAAATATGTTTACAGCCTGGTACAAAAAGTGGTTTTGGTCTATATAGCTAATTTTGCCCTTCATGACAACTGTGAGGGGGGTGAATTTTTTTTGACGCGTTGCCAAGATGGCGATGGCCGGCTCCGCCTCTTTAGGCTTCCAAAACGCTCTTCGGAAACCTACGGGTAACGTCACGGACACTACGCCCATGTTTTTATACAGTCTATGTGTGGGACGCTGAAGACCAAGCGGTTGTCGTGGTAACAAACAACTACGCTTTGTGCTAGCGAGATGAGTTTGGGCTACTGTAAACATTGTGGGCCTATGCATGTGATGCATGAAAGTGACAGCTAATAAAACTAACAAATCATCAAAATGAACATCTATTCAGTAAATTTATATGTGTATTGGCTTTCATTTCTTCATAAATGTGATTTTTGTTGGAATATATTCCTCTATATTTGTTTGAACTATCATTGTCTGGCAGAGTAACTTGTTAGTAGGTGCTACAAATTAACGAAAGACTACATATAGATAATTTATCTGAAATAATGACAGATTATACACTTTAGGTGTTCCTGCATGGCTTTGACCAACAGATGCAGCTACTCGCTAGTGTGCCATCACGTTATGTTGCGCATGCATGGATTAAGTCATTATTTAGAGAAAACAAGTCACTATTTTAAGAAAATGTCACTATTTCGAGAAAATGTCTCATTATTATGAGAAAATAAGTCATTATTTCGAGAAAGTTTCTCATTATTTCGAGAAAAGTCATTATTTCGAGAAAGTTTCTCAATATTTCGAGGAAGTTTCTCATTATTATGAGAAAAGTAATTATTTCGAGAAAGTTTCTCATTTCGAGAAAGTTTCTCATTATTTCAAGAAAATAAGTCATTATTTTGAGAAAGTTTCTCATTTCGAAATTTTGAAAGTGTATGAGATTTTTTCCCCTGAACATTATAATATATTAACTCATAATTACGAGAAAGTTTCTCACTATTATGACATAGCAAGTTGTTATTATGAGAAAGTTTCTCATTATATTGAGAAACAAATTCATAATTATGAGAAAGTACCTACTTTTTATGACTTACAGAATTATATTTTTTCTCAAAGTGGTGGGAACGGGCTTCCATACAAAAGTAATGACTCATAACTCCAAAATGAGAGTCGAATGGTAAGTATCATTTGACAGAAAACCTTTAAGATTTTTAGAAAATAGATTTGTATTGCATTTGGACATTTTCCTGCTGAGAAATTAAGACAAAAAAAAACAGTGTGCTCAAGGGAAATTCCTCTTGTCTTTCTTATTTCACATGCAATATCTCAGGAAGGAAATAACGGAGGAGGAAAATTCCCCTACATGTGAGCTGCATCTAAATCAAATTTTGTGGTGATAGCATAAAGTAATCAAACGTTATAGCGTTTGGAACCAAGGTAGCTTTTTTTAAGCCCTTGACACCCATGGCATGAAGGTTTTTTTTTTCCTCATAACGCCAAAACTGTAGCAAGGATAGTCAAATTGTAGGTATCATTTAAAAGGTATCATTTGATAAACTGCAGAAAATGACAACTTGTCAAAATAACAAAAGTGTTTCAAAAATAATGCAAAGAAAACAAGTTCATATTAGAGATTCACCAATGGCAATTTTCTTGGCCGATTCCAATATCCATTTTTTTTTTCTTCAAGTGTGACCTGCCAATACCAATTTTTGCCAATTCTGTTAAGAAAATAAATACATACATTTGTTATAACTCCTTAAGGAATATCTTTAGATCTAAGTGACAGATCATAGTGAGTTCAGGTACTTTTTAATCGGGAGAACCTGCTGAAAGTATTGCAAAATGAAAGTAATGTAATGAAAGTAATTTCTACAGTCTGAGCATAACTTCATGTTTCATGAAGTTACAAGCTAAAAGTTACAAGTTAAAAGCAAAAGACAATTATGGTTTTTGCATTCTACTCTGTGAAACCGTTCAAATTACATAGGCACACGACTATCTAAACTGTATGATGTCATACCATTTGACATACTACAGTACATAGTACGACAGAACACTTTGGGTTTAAGGGGTTAAAATAGAAATCAGTTATTATAATGATAATAACATTTCACAATGTTACTGTTTTTACTGTGTTTTTGATCAAATAAATGCAGCCATGGTGATCAGAAGAGATTTCGGTCACACTTTATTTTAAGGTCCAATTCTCACTATTATCTACAATTTTTGCCTCAAACTTTTGCCTAAAGAATTAAATATGTAGAATATGATCATGCAGAACATGTACTTTATAAGTACTAATAAAGAGCCAATATGCTAGTAATGTGCACGCTAATAAGCAACTAGTTAATAGTAGGAACCGGTCCCTATACTAAAGTGTTACTGCGAATTCTTTCACTAAAAAAAAAATAATAATTCCAAACCGAATATCTAAAAATCAGTAGTGCATGTGTAGCTTACATACACATATGGCACCCATTAGCATCTCATTACTAAACATGCTTCTGCAGTTGTACCTTGTGTTTGAGAGTTACGAGAGCTTCCCAAAACAACACAGATCTCAGCAGGTATGTTGCCGTCACTCGCTTTGCCGTTACTGGCCACAGACTCAACGGGAGACGCCACCTCGGTCTTTACGTTCACTGAGGGAAGCTTCGGGGACGTTGTTGGCACTGCCTGTGTGGCTCCGGCCTCTGTCGGGACCACAGCCGTGTCCTTCGACTCCTGGCTGGGGTTCGGCACCTCCTGACAACTCATGTCTCCAGGTCTGATCAGCAAGAGTGAAGGAAACTGCACAAAAACAGGAGCGGGGTTTTAAGCGAGAGAGCTAAATATTTCGACATACATTATAATTTAAATATATAATGTGTGTTGGTGTGTGTGTGTGTGTAAATTTAACATGTTTAAATATATGTAACAAAATATAGACGCTCAAAGCTCCAACAACTGTGCATGTGGGGCAATTCATGTCTTGCAAACTAACTAGAACAATAAGAAGAATGTTAGAGAAAAACTAGAACCAATCAAAGCAAATTCAGAAACTCCACACAGCAGCCTAATCTAATTTCATGTTGAATTCAGTAATGCAGAGGAAGTATTTTACAAGCATACAGTATTTCCCTTCTGTGTGGGAGACCTTCATAATAGTGCAGAAAAGCAGCGATTTATGTTTAGGAGAATAACCACAACTATATGTGCATCGCTCAGAACTCTCTGCAGAGAAATAAAATCAGCTTGATGCATGCATCTGCAGTCTACAGAATGTGTGTGTGCAAGTGTCTGTATATACCAGGAATGTTTACTACAGAAACCATGAACCACAACATGGGGGGGGGGGACAATTAAA